TTCAACAATAATCGCGCGGCTTGCACAACAACGTTGGTGTGCGCGCCTCCTCCTCTCGGCGCGCACCACTCGCTCGTTTGATTTACGATAATTAAAGCTGACCCGACCTTTCGTCGCGGCGGGCAAAAGAATGGCAGAAACGAAGAGGAGGGCTGGTGGCGATGGAGGAAACACATGGGGGAGAAAAAGAGAAGGAAAGAGAGGCTTCTCTGGCCTGCGTATATATGCGCCGGTCGTCGGCCAGTGTGCCGATGAGAGACTACGAGAGATTAAAGAGTTTTTCTCCCTTCTCTCTACAATTTTGTTTCACTTTTTACATTCGTAACTCCACACTCTGCCGGGGCTCCCCCCTTTCTCTCTTTCCCCGCGTGTCGAGTCGAAACCAGGGCCCGACCTGCTGTGGAACCAACCAGGTAATTGCTCGGCTCAACCGGAGCCGCCAACCAGCGCTCGCCTTCGCTTTTGCATTTTTCCTCCGGGCGATTTCGCGGGATTCGCAGGACCTCCCACTATTCTCGCGTCTACGGTCGAAAATCGTAGCACTGAAAGCGCCGCATCGTTGGAAATAGTCTTTCGCCGGAATTAATCCGTGGGCGACGCATTTTCGCGATTTATTTGTGGATCTCCCTCCTCCTTTGTCGATTCTGAGAGGTTCTAACATAGTTTCTATGTTAATATTGCGCAAACATTCGAACCCTACTCGCGATGCTTAACGAAACAGATTGGAAGATGGGCAAGAGGTTCTCACGAGGTGTGTAACCGAGAGAAATTCTAGGTAGAGTAGTTAGGCGGGTTTGATGCACGTTGGATGGATACGAAGGAAGAGACGAGCTGGAATCCGAAATCAGGAACGTGACGTGATCTTTACGAGCTCGAGTTGCTTGGCCATCGACGCACGGCGAATTTATTAGTCGTAAATTTCGAGATCCTCGCCTTCCGCTCTCTCTAGCGCGCCGCGCCGGAATAAACATTTTTCCCTTGCACGGTGGCGGAACGTTTCGTGTTTTCTCCGCTCGTAATTCTTCCCCTGCTACCGGATACGCGCGAAACCTGGCTGGCTGGCGTGCTTCATGAGAATGAAGAAGAGAGACGTTATGGTAGGTTGGATAGGTTCGGGTATGGTGTTCTGGAAAATTGTACGCGGTGGATTTTGATGGATGTTGTTTGGCGCATCAACGATTGGCTTTGGGAACTTGTTACTGGGATGGAGGTGGGAACGAATGGTTCGAAGAACGTGGTTTTTGTCTGAATCAAACTTATTTTTGCGTTATTTTTGAGACAACTGCAGATCAATGCGAGGATTGTTAAATTCGACGGTAAATTATGTGCCTGTGTAACCCTTTTTTTCCGTTTTCAATGTCGCTAATAATGAAGGAAATAGTGAAAGGAAGAAAAAGATTGTGAAATTTACGTTTCGAATAAAAGAAGGATTGCTGAAAGATTTTTCTGCAAGATCTACAGTAACTTCATGAACAAGTACCTGCTACACTTGCCAATTGATTTCCACGTAACTCTAGCAGCCCGTCATACCAAACAGCTCACGATTCACTGTTACAAAGACAGTTACTCTCTCACCGAGCCCTCTATTGTAGGATAAAACCCGTGAAAGTAAAGATACAAAGATTAATGATCTCGGCTATCGCGTAGTCTCTAACGCGCCAGTTTGCATCCCATGATCATTCCTCATTTTCCAAAACAAATTTCCAGCATCCATCATGTTAATTCGTAGCGCAGGCAACGTGGAGCTTCATTCGCTCAATTCAGACGCATTAACTGAGACAATGCAGTCACGAGATATGAATCACTCCAGTCTAACTTCCCTAATTTCACACACTTGAGGGGGAGAGAGAGTATGCCTAAATGTCTAAATTCCCGAGGATTCGTGAAGTGTGAAAAAATATTGAACAACGGCGCCAACGGCGGAGACGAAAACGTGAGAACGACCGGAGAGCGACGGTCGGTCTCTCCCTGGTTAATTATTAACGCTGCTAATATTTTTCTCGGCGCGCCGGAACGGCGGCCAGTCACAGCCTGGCGGAATTATGACACGATATCACGTCGCGATAAATCGCCCGGGTAATTATTCACACGCGCGTTTCTGCACACGTGAGAATACTCTCTCTCTCACTCACTCTCCTCTTACTCACTTTCTTACTCTCCCACTCATTCACTCTCTTACTCTCCTACTCTCACTCTCTTTCTCTCTTTCACGCATTCTCTTACTCTCTCGCTCACTCTTTCGCTCTCTTATTCTCTTACTCTCTCGCTCACTCTTTCGCTCTCTTATTCTCTTACTCTCTCACTCACTGACGCAGTCTCCCAGTCTCCGCATCTCTGAGCTTAGTGTCACATTCACTCTCGCTCTCTTTCTCTCTCTCTCTCTGGTTCCGAGCACGCTCACCTGGCTCGCCGTTGACAAAAGAGAAAGAGAAGGCGATTTTCTTAGGCGCCGGCCGCCGGTGCCTGGCGTCGTCGACGATACCCACGTTTCCAGGAGGAAAGTTGCACGCGTACCACACAATCAGAGTCGTTAAATGTCGACGCGTGCAATTTGCATGGCGCGATGCCTCCTCTCCGTAAAAATGAACGACCGTGCCAGCTGTCGTGAGGCGTAATTACTCCGCGCCGGCGTTAGAAAAGTCTGCACGCGGAGACCTCGAGAGTGCCTCAGCCTGTTGACGAGTTTACGTTGGGAAGAGGTTGCAGGTATCCGCGAATGAGTCAGAGGAAACGCGCCTAGCGGAATTGAAATGGAAACGACCAGAGGCAGATGATGGTTTCTCGAAATTCACTTATAGTACGGTGAACGATTCTGTATCTCGTTACGGAACCTTTTGATTTTTCATTTGTTAACGTTCGTGGTTATTGATGGCTCGTTTTAGCGTCAGCCAGGCTGTAGTTTATTAATGACTAGGTGTGACCATGGTATTTTCAAGCGTCACGCTTTAACCTTTTTGTGTACGAAGTAAAGTGATAAATGAAATTTGTTTCATTTAGTTTATTTATGAAAAATTAAGCAATAGTCGCGTACTTTGCTACTGCAGTTACAAAAATTGCACAAAGTTTGTCCTCTAGGTGCAACGTTTCAACCTTTTTAGGTACGAAATACAAGTCTAACTCAAATTTAAAAAAAACCCCACTAAACTCAGTTTATTCAGGAAAAGTTAAGCAACAATCACGTGCATTGGAAAGATCGTACAGATCGAAGCTAATCAGTTTAAACCTACACCCTCTGCACTTCCTTTCGTAACCTCTCTCGAATCCTCAAGAATAACTCGTTCACTCTGCAACGTGTTAATTCGAAATCCACCGGGCTCACCCCTCGAACAACTTCTTCGAAAGAAGATTTAAAGAACGCAATAATTCTTTGAGCAGTCCGCTCGATTGGCTCTCGCTCGAAGCTACACGTTCCTCCACACCGTGGCAACTCGCCGCGAACTTTCTATCGTTATGTGCGCCGGGATATGTATTTTTTTCCCTCTTTTTTTTACTCTTGCACCGCCATTCATCATCCTTGTTCACAGCGATGACGAGGCCGTTGGATGTCGGAGACGCTAATTAGTCGGCCACGTGGTCCCGCGAGCG